GCAGGGATCCCCCCGCTGCCGGCGGCCGGGACTCCGGGCCTCCCCGGGCTCACTCCCGAGCCCGCGCCCCGGCCCGGGCTCCTCCGGGGGTCCTCGGGAGGGTCTCCCCGCTCTTCCCTAGGCCCCCTGCCCTGGCCGCAGCCCGCGCGTCCCCCTGAAGGCTGCGAGCCCACGAGCCCCGCGGGCGGCGGCGGAGGCCGACTGACATGCCCCGGACGCGGCTGCGGCCGGCGGGCAGCCCGCGGGGGCGATGAGCCGCTGCGGCCGCTGAGCAGCCGGGCGGCGGGGCGTCGCGCACCTTCCTCTCCCCCCTCACTTGGCCACTCCGCTCGGGAGACCGGGAGGAAACGGTGAGTAATGGGGTGAACCTCCTGCCCTTCCCCCTCAGCGGGCGGCCGAGGCTGGGGGCTTAGGATGCCCCCGGGAGGGTTCCCGCTTGTGAATGCTGGTGTTAATTAAGTTATTTCTCAAGATCATTCATACGAGCTGTCTTCCTGTGGGTTTAGTGCCTCAAGAGGTGGGGGGAGGGTGCCTCGGAAAGTGAACGTTTTGTCTGCGGAGCTGGGGGGGGCATGGTGGCAGAGTGTCTGGGGGGATCCGGGTGGGCAGAACGAGACGCCGGGGCGTGTGTGTGCGCTGGGGCGGCGGGTGCTCACCGGGGAGACTGAACGCTGCGGCGCGGGCCGGCTGCATGTGTGCATGTGTGCCTGTGTGCCTGTGTGCTGGCGGGGCCGGGGCGTGCGGTGCTCCCGGGGCTGTGAGTGCCCGCCGGGGTCGGGGGCTAGGAGCCGAGCGCGTTTCCCCGCGGCGCGCGCCCGCGTGCACACACGCACGCGCGCGCCCAACCTCGGGACTCCGCCGCCGCCGGTCGGGAACTGCAGCCCCGGCTCACCGACCCGCCGCGGCCAAGGGGGCGGGGAGAGGCAGGGTTTCTCGCGTCCTGGGCCCTCCGGACCGCGGGGGTCTGGGCGGGCCGCGGCCAGGTGAAGAGAAGGGAGGTGTGTAACTACCCACCCCCGCCACCCTCCCCAACACACACACACACGCGCGCGCACACACACGCACACACGCGCGCGCGCACACACACACACACACGCACCCAGAGGCCCTCATTCGGAGGCTAGTTCTGCTCTGCAGACCCTGCCTGACCTGCCCCGAGGACCCGAGCCACTGGGAGAGATGAAGAAAGCGATTTGCTCGGGGGGGGGGGGGGCGCGGGGGGGGCAGGGAAGCAGTTTTCGTCTTTATTCATTGAGTTTTATTTTTAACGGTGGAGGGAGTGCGGGGAGGGGGAGTTGGTTAAATAGAACAAATGCCTTTAATGCAGTGCCATAAATTTACCCGCCGGCTGCCCGCCTCTCTCTCTCTCTCTCTCTCTCCCTCCCTCCCTCCGTCTCTCACTCACTCATCTTTTCTGGCGACTAAAAACCCTGACCGTTTGCTGGTTCAGTCTCCTGGGCAGAGGGTTGAAATCGGGGCGGGTTCTCAGTAAGGCAGGCTGCAGCCGGCAGAGAGGCTCCGAGCTCCGGGGTGGTCGAGAAACACGGAACCGAGGGAGTTGTGGGTACGTGATGGGTACGCAGCCGGCCTACCGGTGGGGCACCGAAAGGGAAGCCTCCGGGCCTCCGGCGACCTGGTGACTTGCAGCCGCCTGTGATTAATCTTCCACAGCTGTTGTGCCCCATCCACTTGAGCTGAGCTCTTGTTTACCTCGATTTTCAAATATAGCTGCTGCGCCATGCTCTTCCTGAAATAGGGGATCCGTGCACTCTATAGGGGCGCTGGCCTCCTGCTGGCCCTTCTTTTTAGCGGGCTCCCAAGTTGGAGAGGAACCTGCCTTTTCATGCCTTGAAGTTCCTCACATGGGGATGGTTGCTCCCAGAGCTTAGGGTGCTTGGTGTGGGCTGATCACCCTAGCTTCTCATTGCCACCTACAATTCCTATCGGCAGTCCCCACACACGCGTCCACTCCCTAGCCCCTTTCTTTAAATAAAATATGGATATTGGGTTGAGAAGAAGCAGATGGAGCCTACAGAACTGAACTTGAAGTCGTTCTTGAACTTAATGGACATGGAAAGGCTACTCATGCAGTTTTCTGTACTTGGAATGCTTTATTGTTCTTCCAACACCCCTAAACTCCAACTCCATTCTTGTCTAATGTACTCCTATTCTCCCTCCAGCTCTAAGGTCACTGGTCACTTCCTCAAGGACGCCTTCCATACCATCTCTAACTGGGCCAGAACCTCTATACACTCATAACCTGAGCCTATTATTTTGAAGTAACTTAAAGATGCACATTCAATTTACTTATGTGATTGAGTAATGCTAGTCACACCTTTAGACAGTAAGCTGCACGAAGGGAGAGAACATAACTGTTGTTTATTCACATTGTATCCGCACGGCCTAGCACTGTGCCTGGCAGAGAGTAGGCAGTCAGTAAATGCTGGATGAAGAATGAACTCGGAGGGCCAAGTTATCCCTCCTCTCCGCTCCTGCTTCTGTGATCCCCACTTTGGCATCTCTTGTACTGCCTTCTATAGCTTCCTGGCCGGAGAAGAGAGAACAGGTTATCAAACTGACCCTGTAAAAAAACATCTCCTTCGTTTAGGCTCCTTCCTGGGCTGGAACCCTGAAGCTGAGGGAGTGTGCTCTTGCCCCATCCCTGCCCCATCCCTGCCCTGTCCCTGTGCCAGGTGACCCCTTGTACAGTCTCTGGGCATATTTGCTGGGATTGTCCCTGGGTAGTGATGGGGGGCATTGTTCCTTGGCCTGAATGGTCCAGTCACTGCTCACAATCTGGATTTGGGGGAATGTGTCCCGCATCTTGGCTTCTCTTTAAGCTACCAAGTTCGTGTAAGAAGAGAGGGTAACCCCCTTTTCACTCAACCTGGTTGTTTTGCCTAGAGGCTCAAATATTTGGTGAGGCTCGACCATATATTGGACTCTAAAAGAAAAAGCATTCATTTATTCAATAAATATTCAACAACAGCCTACTCTGCCAGGCATTTGCTAGGTACAGAGGCAAATAAAATAGAATGGTCCTTTTCCTCATAAACATCCATTCATTCCAGCAGGGATAATCAGCTAGTGATTCCTTTCAGTGGAGGCTAAATCTGGAGTACAGTGGAAGCATGTAGGGAGATCACCTCTCTACAGGGAATTCAGGAGGACTTCTAGGGACAGCGAATCCCAGAAAGAAAGGATGGGTAGGGGTTGGCTTTGGTGAAAGCAGGGAGGGGCTGGGGAGAAAGTGTTAGGACAGAAAGGATCCACATGCAAAGGCCTAATGTGGAAAAGGCCAATGATTGAAGACAGAGGGTTCAAGTTTGGAGGACTCTAGGGGCCAAACCTTGAAGGGCTTGTACTCCATGCTAAGAATTTTCACTGTTGCCAGGGGGGCGCTTAGGAAGGTTGTTTGCACTGAAGTGCACGGTCAGGTTTGCATTTGAGAAGGTATGCTGAGACTGGAATCTTGGGGGGTGGGTGCTGGGAGGCTGTGGGAGAAGCCCAGGGCATCCTCTGGGTGGCCTGTGAGGGAGGGATGCAGGTTCCTCTTTCTGTTTTAGCAACCAGAGCTGCTCTTCTAGGAAGATGTTCCACCATTTTCTTTAATGAGATTGGCTTATGTTTGGTTGTCCGTGTTTTGAATGGGTGCTCTAAACCCAACAGTAGACAGGGTGCCTCCGGGAAAAGGAAAAGTGCCTCCAGCAGGTGTAAGACACACCTCCTGGCCTCCTGAGCTGCACAGCAAGGTGAACCCCCAAAGATTTGAGATCTCTGAGGACTGGGGAAGTTCTCAAGAAGGAGCCTGGAAGGGTAAGAATGGATTTAGATCCATATCTGGATCCATAGAGACTACTGAGCACGACATTGAGGTAGGAAGAATCACAGGTGTTTTTATATGTATATGTGTAGTTTTTGATAATACGGAGAGTGAATAAAGGCTAATTCCGGAATCAAGTATTTGGATATGGTAAACAGAACCACGTCTACAAAGGCAACAGCTCTATTTCATCCTGGATGAAATTTACTGCTTTGATACTTGGAATGACAAATAATGCTTTCCTGGTTGTGTGGCAGGAGCGCTGGGTCATGTGGGGGCCTGGATCCGGAAGTGGGACTGGAAACTGTAATCCTGCCCTGGCTTCCCCGTGGTAATTTCCTAATCACTTGAGAGGAGAGGATCTCAGGGTCAAGCACTGCTATGCTCGTCCTAGAGAATGAAGCCAAACAGTGTGCACTTGGTCAGCATTCTTCCTTTGCACCCTGGTCTCCCCACTTTGTTCCTCATGCTTCCCTGGTCTCAGAGTAAAAAAGATCTCCCTTCTCCTCCTACACAGGGCCCAGGGGCCAGCCCTGCTCTGTCTTCATTATCCTGCCTTACGTGCTTTCTCCTCCAGCCCTCGGTCCCCTCCCTCCATCTGTCAGCATGCTCAGCAAGCCCTGGGCTTCAGAGCCCCTTGTCCAACTCCTACCCCTTCACACTCCCTTTTCGTGCAGCTTTTACCTAACTCTTGACCTTTTAGAGTAAACAGCTGTCTCCGTTTTGTCTCCACTCATTCATCTGTTCAGCCCCATACTTTCCCACTTTTCTCTACCTTCTGCCCAACTATCACCCACCTAGGACTTCTCATTTTCCCGAATGGAATAACTGGTTTCTGATCTCTCCCCCTGCCGCCAGCTAAGATTGACTCTTAGCTCCCGAAGACTTTCCCCTCTTGGCTCCCACCACGCTGAGCTCTCCAGGTGCTCCCCCTTCCATCTCCTCTCCAGGAGTCTCTCTCCTCCCGTTGTCCTCTTCTCCACTGCGCCCCGGCAGTCTCCCTCGTGGTTTGTGCTGTGGCCGAAGCCCCTCTGTCACTGTAGCTCTCTATCCCTGGTGTCTTGTTTCCAGCCCCTTGTGCAGTATCTCCGACAAGTTGTCGCCTCAGCTCCTAAAATTGAGTTTCTACTAAACTGACGTCGTCTTTGTCCTTAGGAGCTACTTCTCTTGACGTCCCACTTTCTGTTGATGGCACCAGCCAACTCCAGTCACCCCGGCTCAAAATCCCCAAGTTTCTCTTTGTCTCCTCTGCCTTATCCCTGAATATTGCTAATGTCCATTGAGTCCATGCCCACCTTCTCTGCCCCTACCACCAGCACCTGAGTATACTTGATAACCTCCTACCAAATCGTACTGACAACAGTAATAGTTGCTGTTATAGCAGCCAACATTTGTGCCTTTGCCACCTGTGAGCTCCTCGGTTGCAAAGTGCTTTACATTGATTTTCCCATTCAGTTCTTACCATACCCCTACCAAGTAGTTGCTATTATTGTCATACTCTATAAATTAGCTTTCTAACATCTTCCC